CAGATCATAGAATATCCCGAGTTGGAAGACACTTACAAGGATCACTGAGACAAATACATAGCTCAAGAAGGGATCTCCCAAAATTCAAATTATATTACTGAGAGTGTTGCTCAAATGCTTCTTGAACTACAGATGGCTTAATGCCACATCCACTTCCCCAGGGACCTTGCTCCATTTCCAGCCACTGACAAGAACTGTACCTATCTGCTGAATTCTGTCACAAAACTTATTTTACACTATTTATTCAATACAGTAATATTATTACTACTCTACAAAATAGCAAGATCCAATCTAAAATAGTAATCCTAACCCAAAATAGTAAAACTCAACCTATAAAATGTCCAGGGTCCATGGTACCTGCAGAAAATTAAGAATGCTTCTGTACTGATCTTTTCATCTCACTGAAATATTGAAAGGAATAAAGAAAAAATATTTTGAGTAAACCTGGCAAACTATAGACAGCTGTGGAAAAATCTATGACATACTGCATAAGTTTAACACCTTGGCAGTTTCACATGAAATATATTTCCCCATCTTCTATATAATGAATCTTAAATTATTTAAAATAGACCACTCGGGGTTTTCACATATGCTTCATAAGGACATGAAGAGCAATCAGCAAATGGTGCAGAGAAGGTTATCACCCTCTGAGCAACTTAAGATGGCTGGTGGCCTGAGATACTGAGTGTCGAAAACAGATCCATACTACTCTATGTTTGGCAGCTGCTCATCTAGGTCATCATTTTTGTGTGGCTTGAATAACAGAATTTAAAGCATTAGCAAAAGTCCGTGAAAGTTAGAATGAATCAAACTTTTTGTTTGTTTCTTTTTCACAGGAGCTATCATGGCAAAAATATATATATATAAGGCACTTCTTCTATGAATACATATCATTTATTGTTGCCTAGGTGTTTGGAAATAACTGACAGATTCGTCACTTGTTTAGTATTTCCCTTTGAATACGAGTTAGGTTGACTGTCAGAATTCCTTAGGCTACCAACACCCTACTTTTACAAAAAGGGTACTAAATTTTCCAGGTACTTCACAGAAGCTTTATAAATTCTCAGAGATTACCACAAATACTTCTGAGATTGCTTCAGCATCTCAAGAGTTTTGAAAGATGCTTCTATTAAAAAAGAAAAACTGAACTGGGTAGCATTCACATATGAGTAAATAACAGCACCATTTGTATCCCTGATTGTTGGATTTTTCCTATTTAACTTCACTTGCAGGTTTCATATCTACTATCTATCATTTCTATATCTTTCAACTGACAATGAACAGTTCGCACTGATATGCAGTAACAAGGATAGGTAATAAAAAGAAATACAAGATAGCCAATTATGTAGGACAACTTTTAAGCAAATTTATTATTAGTGAGGGAAGCTAGATTTATAGTCCTAGGGAAAAAAAAAAATGTCTAACAAGACTGCACACACACAAAAAAGTATATAGATAAGCAAACATTATTAATTTAAAGTTTCCACATTTAACATGACTGATTTATTTCTTCTGATACTTCAGACATCTGATCTTAGAAAAGGAACACATTTTTTCTAGTATATATCTAATCAATCTTCAGATTTCAGTAAAATTCTCCTGAATGACAACTTATGACAAATTTTATTCCACAGACATTTCTAAACAAAGAGATTTTGCAGGGCACCAGTTCATTTTACTCAGGTCACCAAATCAGAGTTATATAAAAACCAAGTTGCTGGCATTAACAGTTCAGATTTGTAGGTATATCAATACACATAAAAGCTTGTGTTAATTAAGTTTAACAATTCAGTTAAAAGTAATAGCTGTAGTTTACATTAAATAAATTGTCCTAATGGGCATGTATACTACCTGTATACTACCTGGTTTTTGCAAAGTGAAAGTAACACTGCTTTCTACTCCTATAACCTTTTTTTCTCCATTTTCTGAAGTGTAATTTTTTTGCAAAAAGCAAACATTAAAAACATTTCACAAATAAGTTCAGTTTGGCTATTTACTGTATGTTTTTGAAATTCCAGATATTATTTCACTACCTTGTCTTATCTCCTCAAATAATATGACCAAAAATGCTTCCCATACAAATTAGGTCTACCTCATTTTCAGAAAGCTGTATCCATTGTAATAGAATAAAACAAAACATCTTCAGTAAAACATCCATAATTCTTTGCATGTAAGATGTTAATGAGTCCAGATAGAATTCTGAAAACACTTCATTTCTGACAAAAGAAAACTGTCTTTGGTTGAAATTTTTGCCCAGAAGTTGACCAAAGAAAAATCCTAATTAGTTCACTCTTGAATCTGCCAGATTTTCCTTTACCAATCGTATTCCACTAATTCCCCTCAGTGAGTATCAGACAGAAAGCTAGGAAGACATGCATAGGAAGGGTGAAAGCAGAATACAGACTGACCAGACAGAAATAAAATAACCGATATATTCTCTCCCTCTACTCTGTTCTCATGAGACTCTACCTGGAAGTATGGCATTCAACTCTGAGGCCCTCAACATAAGAAAGGCAGGGATTTTCAGAGTAGGACCTGAACCAGGGGGAAAGCCATGAAGATGATCAGAGGGCTGGAGAACCTCTCCGGTGAAGACAGGCTGACAGAGCTAGGGTTGTTCAGCAGTCAGGAGAGGTCTCAGGGAGACCTCATCACAGCCTTTCAGTACCTAAAGGGGGGCTACAGGAGAGATGAGGATGAACCCTTTAGCAAGAAGTATGGCGATAGGATCAGGGTAATAGCTTTAAATTAAAAAGAGTAGACTTAGATTAAATATATGGAAGAAATTCTTCACTGTGATGGTGGGGAACCACTGGAACAAGTCGCAGAAAGTAGCTGTAGAAATGGCATACTTGGAAATGTTCAGTTCCAGGCTGGATGGGGCTTTGGGAATTCTAGGCTAGTAAAAGGTGTTCCACCCCATGGCAGGGTCATTAGGCTAGATTATCTTTGAAGGTCACTTCCAACCTAAACCACCCTGTGATTCTATAAAATTAAAACTCAAGTCAGTCATGACATAATTATCCTTGTTGTTACAGGCCACATATTACTGTGTATATCACAGAACTGTAGGGGGTTAGGATGGACCTCTTCTGAGATCATCTAGTCCAGCCCACTCTATTAAAGCAGGTTCCTTACAGCAGGTTACAGAGGAAAGCATCGATTGGGGTTCTGACTATCTCCAGAGGAGACTGAACAGTCAATCTGGGCACTCCATTCCAGTTCTGTGTAATCCTCAAGGTAAAGAAGTTCTTTCTCATATTTGTATGGAACCCCCATGTTTCAGTTTTTATATTCTCTTCACTGCCAAGTCCGAGAACTATCTAGATCAAGTATTAACAAATTTTAAATTGTATTTTGTTTTACAGTTTCTCAGTGACTTTTGATAAATATATATACTGTGACAAACACACAAAGAATAAGACGCTCTCCAAATTTCTCTGCAAATGTCACCATTTCAATAGAAATTAGCATCAGATTTCAAGCTAATGCTCTAATTGTTCTATTTTTTAATGAAAACATCTACTGATGTCATTCATGAATATGAATATTCTTAAAATTCACAGATTTATCATAGCTCTATCTTCCCTGAGAGGAAATTAACACAAGTTTCTGATTACCAATGGGGCTGTCTACCCCTTTTTAAATGACAGTCATATTCCAAGTTAATAGTAAACTTTTATTTGCTAGCGTAGACATTTTCTTTTCCCCTTGACCTTTCCCTGACTCTAGCACTAAGATACAAAAGTAGTTCCAAAGATCCTAAAACTCGCGATTGTCTGATAAGGAAGCTATAACAAGATTTTCTGGTTACCTATGCAAGATGAAAATTGGATTCCACCTAGTAAGAGTGCCTTGCCTTCTAAAATGAGAACACATTACAGAGACAGAAATTGATCCAATAAATATTTTAATAGCTATACACTGAGAGAATACAAGACTAAACATTATTAATGGACCATATTCTTGTAATGAGCAGTTCTAAGCCACTCTTTTCATTTTGTTTTCCCCAGCTTAGGTAATACCTGCAGTAAAAGTATCAGTTCTGCTTTTGTTTCCTCTCAGCATTCACAAAAGAAAATTAAAATGTTGATAGTGCAGAAAAAGCTTTTACATTTATTGTTACTTCAACTTCACTAGCACTACCACTGAATTTCTTACAGGTGCATTTCACAATTGCAAGAAACGATGTTTGAAAAAGTGACACCTTATTTTCCTCTAATTTGAATCCTCATTTCTTCTTTAACATATATAAAAGTTTTATCATGTCATTATAGGATTTAAAGCACTTGAAATACATGTTTTTAACTCATTAACTGAATGAAGAAAAGCTGTGCTGGCATAAAAACTGATCATCACATTTCCTCAAGCTGTTTTGAGGAAAAAAAATATCATATGACTCACCAGGGTAGCTGATAGATTGGTAAAACATAGAATTTTAAACTGGTTGTCATTTAAGTGGATATATGTTTAGGGGTTTTACTAACTATCAACTGTTTTTCTATTTATTCCCAGCTGTATAAACTACTACATACTGCATTTTTTTAAGGTCAAACAATAGGCATTTGGGTGCTTGAAAAGTGAAATCTCTTTCTGTCTGTACATCACAGTAAACCTTAAATGCTGTAAAAGAATAATTTCATTCTTGACTGTAATTTATTATTCTCTTTCCCTTTTCTCTAACTGCCCATACAGACATATAAATAATAAAATATTTAGAGGAAATCTCATTTTCTCTCAATTATGCGCACTTAAATTGCCAGTTGCTTCCTTGAACAAGGTTTTACACACATGCGCATTTTGTTTGCAAGGCCCTTTTTTTGAGTGTGTAAACTTCCAAGTTCGTCTCTCAAAATTCAGTACTTTTTACACTGAAATCTAGTATTTTGTAAATTATGTTTCCTCGACAGAAGTGTCTTAAGAAAAACAGCACAGAAACAGGGTCTATTCTATACTTAATCTGTAATGTGTTAGATAACCAAACAACATGTAAAACTTACAGCTGTCCATGCTTCTGTTCTGCATCGAGAACACAACCATTCATTATGGATTTCATGAGAAGGAACACCATAGCAACCTAGAATGAGAGAGCTGATTTGATTAATATATTCTGTATTTCTAATCATGATGTCATACAATTCAACTATGTACAAACATCAGTAATATTGTGATCAAGGAAAGTTTTCCAGTGCTAGGTTTATTGCTATTCTATAGTTTGTTTGTGTGTGTGTCTGTGTATGCGTGAATGTAGTTTCCCCAAACTTCCAAACTTAAAAAAAAGAAGAGCCACAGCAGGGTATTTTTTTTATCTTCTGTAACTTCAGTAGCAAATTATCGATTTGCAAATTATCCCTGCAATAACAAGGTACAATCTCAATCAATGTGCTGACATTCTACACAATTACACTGCATCTCCATTTAAGCATTCAAGTCCTACTATATGTAGAAGATACTACAGAAAAATCATGCATTAATCAGTCACTTGAAATTAAGGATGTAAGGTGGAGGAAATTCTGTATTAAAAGTCAATAGAAATATTCATGAATCCTCAATTTTAAAAGGATTTCACCCTTACAACTTGTAAGCTAACATCACAGAGGGGTTTAAAATATGACGAGTAAATTTAAAGGCTTAGTGTTGAACAAAAAATCAGAAGTCTCTGCTCCCCATAGAAATGAAAATTGTAAAACTAACTCTTCATTAGTTTCAGAGCAACCATTAACAAATAACAGAACACTCAACATAGGGTAAAAAAAATGCAGCCAGTGACTTCAAGCATCAATTATGGAAATGTTTTTCAAGTGCTTACTTAGACATACCAGAAGCTTACTTATCTATATATATAATATATATATATATAATAAAACAAAATTCGAAATGGCATTGCTACCAACTGAAATAGTAATGTATTTACTTGCATGTACTCGTACACAACACTTTGCACAGGAAATAAGAAGACTTGTTCCATCCTCATCAATTAAGGCATTTGATGGAGAGTTTTCAGTGTTTTCTTCACTATAAATAAAACACATCTCTGGAATAAGAGGTCTAGACTTCTCATTTTCAATCATCAGTTTTTCTTCTAAGTTTGTTTCCTTGTAAGTAGAATTTTCTTCATCAAGATTGTCTGGCTGGAAATAAAATAAAATCACATTTAAGTAAAAAGCGGAGAGTCTTTCTTTCTGCTCTTTTTAATTACAGTCAAATTCTCCTCACCCTGCTCCTGCATTAATAATGTAACAGTTTATAAGAAAACTAACTACTACTGGTTATCTATCACAATCATACTATAGTTCATTGACTATTCAAATAATAAAAAAGCACTCAGTCTGAAAATTAGCATTATTGCAACAGTGTTCAATGATACAGTACAATTGACTCCCACTAAGCCCTTTAGCTGGATCCAGTGCAGAAGGTCTCTTTCCCAGGTCCCAAATAGAGAGGCTTCCTGTTCAGTAGCTGCAGAATTAGTACTATATCAGCTGTTTTTAGCCGATGTTTGACACAAATTCGACAAGCCAATATCAAATTGTGTCCCGGATAAGAAGGTTTCTATAGAAACACTGTTCTTGAGATGGCCCAAGTACTGTTAGACGGTATTTTTTCAGCACTGTAGGAAGGAGATGTGGAAGTGGTTTTGATGAAAGGCATTTGACAATGGAAGTATAAGGAAGTAACTAAAAGATATAAACCTGTGTGGATTAATTGAAAAATGCAGCTTTCTGTATGTGTAAGTACACATGCACTAACACCAATCCTACACAAATCCAGGGCAGAAGGCATACACTGTCTGTAACAAAAGATAAATGCAGGTGGATCAAGCATCATCTCTAGTTTTAACAATATCGAGTTTATTTACTTCCCAGACAACCAAAATGAGTAAATGTAAATTCTTTCTAATGTACTAGCATTTTTCGGGAATGCTGAAGCTGGGCAGCTATTTCACACTCCTCTCAGAAATGAAACTCGAAGGATCTTGCTTACCTTGTAGTACGGCATGAGAAGAGTGCAAATAGCACAGTGGGGTTCCTTTTTTGCACAACATGCATTGTATTCTTTTTCAGCATTGAAATTAGGTGTTCTTGTCTGCCAAAGGTGGACAAGAGGCCTGGCCCATGTCTCCGTCTCTTGAACTTCCTCTTCAGTAAATGCAGTTTCAGGCAGTTCTTAAAGAAAAAAATCAGAACAAGAGGCAGTGAGCACAAACTGTAATAAATTAAGTTCTGTCTGAACATCACAAAACACTTCTTTAATGTGCAGGTAATGGAGCACTGGCACATGCTGTCCAGAAAGGCTGTGGAGTCACCCTCTTTTGAGGCCCAATACACACCTGGGCATGGTCTGGGCACCCTGCTCTGGGTGTCCATGCTTGAGCAGGGGCTGGTCCAGACAGACCCCCTCAAGGTCCCTGTCAATCTCAACTAGTCTGTGATTCTATGAAAGCAAGCAATTGGACATATTCTTTTCCTGAAAGGGAGAGAAACAATACTGGATTTGTCATGTTCACTAATAGCGAGACCAAACAATGCTAACGAAAGCCTGAGAGTGAATACAAATGCAGAAGTCTAAAGAAATTATGCATCAGGACAAGCACACAAAAAGCACTTCAACATCATAAGCTGACTACTTTACAGAAAGTATTTTAGTAGCTCTTCAACTAACAATTGTATTCATATCCTTATTCATAACATTAAAAACTGTCTCAACTCTTCCAAACTCAGCTCTCCAGCCAGAGGTCACAAACTCCACCTTAAATCCCTCAAAGCTGGAACATCACATCTGGCCATGCAGCACCAGGCAGTCACTTTTTCCACACAGAACAGCAGCTCTCAGCTGTTTATGTAACCTATCACTCATTTTCCAAAAGAAAAAACAGATTAATATTATCATCAGTACACAATGGGGGAAAATCTGCCTTTGGATGTAGCTGGACAGGTAAGAATAGTGCATGCTGTAACCCCATGTAAGAAATAATTGTTTAATAGTATCAGTGAGCCATTCTGGATGTTGTAGAGTATGGGTGACGACCCTTTTGTTTTCCTGGGCTGGAGTAAAGAAGAGTTGCTTGGGATGCTGTCTTTGGTGTTGCTGAGTGATGGGTGCACCCCCTAGGGCTGGCCAGGCTGCTCTATAGGGAAGAGCTGCTGCCATGGTGGCAGGGTGTGAGGCTAATTACTAGCTGTCCAGAGCCATGGGTTGGACATGCCTGTTGCAGAAGTTCACAGCATGCCTGTGGAAGACTTTAATTTTAAAATTTTAAAGTTGACTTTAAGAAGTTCAAAGCCTCTAGAGAAGGTGGAGAATAAAATCAGATTGAACCCTGAAGAGAAAAAATTAACCAATAGGTGTAATCTGAAAATGTAGTCATTTGCTCTTGTCACGGTTTTATGATTTTTGGTTATCAGTATTCCACATCATAACATCATGTAATGCACTGGGGGTTTGACTGTGGATGCTCAAGTTCTCGGTGCCTGTCCGGAGGAGAACTACACTCCCCAGGGGGCTTTGCGGTCAGCAAGGAGATGTAACTCCCAGCAAGGTCACCTGATGTTCTCTTCTTCGCCTGCGCTTCTCCGTCTGCTCGTCTCCATCTGCTTTTCTTCATCGGCTCAACTGGACTGCACTTCCCACATCAGCATTGTGGTGAGACCTATCAACCTTTCGCACACTCTCTCTCTCGTTATATTTTGCTGATACTATATTTAGTAAATTAGTTTGTTTCACCTCAGATCGTTGCCGCTGTTTTCAATTATATTGGGGTCCCTTGTTTCCCTTTTCCGGAGGCACAGATCTGCAGATCCCTCTGCCCGGTCACAGAACCGGGCCGAACCAACCCGTAAACCGTTGACATTCTTGGTGGAAAATGCAGGCAATTAGCTGCTTTTTAGCTTTTTAGAAACGAATCTCTCTGCTCTCTGAAAGCTTCGTTGGGAAAGTTTATCTGTTTCACCGGTGCTCTCTGAAAACTTGACCTTGAAAAGTCCAGGCGGACTGCCAATATTCTAGGGTATTTGTAAACTTTGAGCCTTGCTATCTTGCTTCTGTAAAGCAAAAAAAAAATGCTTTCTCTTCTAAAACTGCCTTTCAAGGGACTGCATGCCACTGTTTCTTCTTTTTTAACGCTCAAAACATACTGGGGCTTAGTTAAGTTTGCCACTTTGCTCTATGGAGCTCTAAGTATATACAATTGAAAACACTGATGGAAATATGTACCTAGTATCTGCATACAGTGTGGCATACAACTCTAGAGGGAGCTGCTAATTTTACAGGACTTGGGATTTTTAAGCAGGTTTCCAGTCTCTCCTTTGAATCCTTTATGCAGTTTTTGAATGCTCACCTGATCACATTGTCAATCTCCCTGAATGTACTGCTCATCATTTCACTCAGTATTAGTATTTATTATATTTTGAGGAAGCCCTCCCCAAAACCAAAGAATACTGAGTGGCAGGGAGTGTGGAGAGGCCTGGTAGAGACTTTAGAGAGATGGACATCTTCGGTGTCATGGAACTTTACTCCTGAACACCTGAAAGACCCTGAGAGCTTAAATAGATATTTAAGACAGGAATGTTGCGGCTCCAGCAGATCTGAGAAGGCACAAATGATTTGGGGCCTGGCTAATGCTTATCGGGCCTTATTCAATAGTATCCCAGAGAGGGAGAGAGTTTGTGAAATTGAGAGAGAGTGTCTGAGAGCTGAAAGGGAGAGTCTCAGGGAGACAGTACAAAATGAGCGAGAGAGTCTCCTAGTCGAGAGAAAAGACCTCCAATCTGAGAGAGATGCCCTCCGAATCGAGAGAGACTCCCTGCAATCCAAACTTGACAGTCTTCCATCTCAACAAGACACCCTTAAGTCCGAATGGCACGCCCTCCAAACTGAGTGAGACACCCTCCAATCTGAGCTAGATACTCTCATAATCGAACGAGACAGACTCCAAGCTGAGATGGAGGATGAGAGCATTGGAACTGATCAACCTGATCAACCACAGGAGGCACCACAATTGATGTCAGTTGCCCCTGTGAGAGGACGGAAAATGAAACGAATCTCGACTCAGTTAGAAGAGAAGAAAGAGGAGCAAAGAGGTCCAGAGGAGTGGCTCCAAGATCCAGGGGAAGCACCCCTGAGTCCAGGGGAGGGACCCTCAGTAAGACCACGGTCACCAACGCCTATAAGGGCATCAAAGAGTCCTGAAAGAGTAAGAGGTGAGCAAGATATCATTACCATTGTTGATCGATCTCTGAAAATGAATGAAATTCGAAGTCTGAGAAAAGACTTTTCACATCACCCAAATGAGCCTACTGCCATCTAGTTACTTCGATGCTGGGACAATGGGGCCAACAGTGTGTGGCCAGATAGTAGAGAAGCTCGCCAGCTGGGTGGTATTGCTAGGGACTCAGCCATTGATAGAGGTATCAGTACATGCCAGAACCAGGCCTTCACCCTATGGAAGCGGATGTTGTTAGATGTAAAAGAAAGATACCCCTTCAAAGACGATCTGATGCCTGAGAAAAAGAAATGAGCTGATATGGAAGAAGGCATCCATTATTTAAGAGAATATGCTGTGGTGGAAACACTGCATAGCCCCAATTTCATTCCTAACGAGCCAGACCAAGAGCATGATCCTGAAAGAATCAGGTGTACACCAAATATGTGGCGTATATTCACAAAGACTGCACCAGAAAGGTATGCCAGTACATTTGCAGCAATGTATGGCAGAGGCGAAAGAAGGCCCTTATAAATGAACTGGTTAATAAGCTTCAAGACTTTGAGTTACATTTAAGACTTCTACGAGCTTGTGTTTCAGCCGTTGCAAAAGTAGTCAAAAAGCTGGACAGAATGGAGAACAAACAAGAAGATATAATAGACAAACTATCAACTGTGCCTGATGCTGATGAATCCATGGTGGTAATAGATACATCGAATGGGGACCAGAATTCCCAAAACAGCCTACTGGAGTGGCTGATCAACTTGATTTCCTCCCAGCCGATGTCATCCAATGTCTCAGCTATCAAAAGAAGACGTCCTCCTGCTCGAGCAAGTGACAACAGTAAGACTACGTCACGTTTTGCCTTGTGGCATTACCTACATGACCATGGAGAAGATATGAAGAAGTGGCATAAACAACCTATTCCCGCACTTCAACACGGGTAAAAGAATTACAAGACAAATCAACCACCAAGGTGAACTTCTCCAAAAAGGTGATTGCTCCAGTTGCTGCAGACAACAGAGGTAACAAATAGAGGGGCCCTGCCCCCAGCCAGGGGGGGGAAGGGATAATAGAGTTTATTGGACTGTGGGGGTTAGATGGCCTGGCACAATCAGAATCACGGAAATAAGGCCCTGGTGGTTACAGCAGTGGGAACAGAGCAACTGGCAAAGAAGGGGTAAACCTATTTGGGGTGCTGAACTGTGGAAAGATATTGCTGACCGAATAAAGAATATGGTTGTAAAGGTGCGCCATGTAGATGCTCATGTGCCCAAGAGTCGGGCTACTGAAGAACAGAAAAATAACCATCAGGTAGACCAAGCTGCCAAAATTGTGGTGGCTCAAATAGACCTGGACTGGCAGAACAGGGTGAATTATTTCTAGCTCAGTGGGCCCATGAGACGTTGGGCCACCAAGGAAGAGATGCAACATACAAATGGGCTAGAGACCGAGGGGTGGACTTAACTATGGATGCTATTGCACAGGTCATTCATGACTGTGACACATGCGCCACAATTAAACAAGCCAAGAGGATGAAACCTCTCTGGGTGGAAGGGTGATGGCAAAAGTATAAATATGGGGAGGCATGGTATGTTGATTATATCACCTTGCCACAATCTCGCAATAGTAAGCGTTATGTGCTTACTATGGTAGAGGAAACCACTGGGTGGCTTGAAACATATGCAGTACCCCATGCTACCACCTGAAACACCACATTGGGTCTTGAGAAACAAGTCCTGTGGTGACATGGCACCCCAGAAAGAATTGAGTCAGATAATGGGACTCATTTCAAAAATTCTCTTGAAAATACTTGGGCCAATAGATCATGGATTGAGTGGATTTATCATATCCCCTATCATGCACCAGCCTCTGGTAAAATTGAACACTACAATGGGTTGTTAAAAACACAAAATGTTGAAAGCAATGGGTGGTGGAACATTTAAGCACTGGGAGAAGCATTTG